AATACTTAATTTTTTTGTATTTATTTTGTAAGAATGGGAATATAATCACGTTTATCTTGATCATGATCTTTATACAGGGAATGTGCAATCAAGCAGATATAAATATTTTACAGGAGAAACAGATGCTACATAACTGCAGTGATACATTTTCACCATAGCTGCAGATCCAAGCACGTAGACCATAATACACAGAGGAAGGTCCTAATTGCAAATGTAATTCCACTAATTACAAATTATCATGTCCTGTTTTAGTTCTGTTTGGATTCACAAGTGGAATTTTGAATTTTCTTTCTAACCATTGGGTTCTAGATAGTGGAAATATATATATATGATTGTATACAATACATTTTTAGGTATAAATGGATGTTATCCAGAATGCTTGCAAATTGGCAATACTATATGGATGGTATTGTGATGTGAGGAAATTATCAGGTGGGCAACAGAACTTTTTCCTCCACATATGCACACATACAGTCACCGACATGTATGAATAACATATGTAATCATGTATGTGAACCTTGGTGCAGAGTTAAATGTGAGCTGGAGTGCTAGGGACCAGCATTCATCTTATCTGTTCCCCCCAATCCCTCATCATTTGATTTTAAATATGCTTGAGTACAACTCATTCTAGTATATGCCAGTGAAAAAAAATATAATTTAACTTCTTGAATGCGTCACTCTCTTTTTTAAAATTAAGCTTGGCTGTAAAAGGTTATTCCAAAAGCCTCAGCTCTATATGCTCCTTGGGTCTACATCTAAATACCAGCTAAGAAATGGACACAAAGGGGCTGATATATAAAATGTTCACCCAGTGTACAGCTGGGTGACTAAGGTTCACATAGCATAATTGTCATTAAATTGAGTCGAGAAGCATAGGAATTCCTTCTCATGGAGATAAGGACTGCACAGCTGTTGTACATGAGCCTCCTGTACAAGGGCCAGGTCTCACTGCCCTCTTTTGTGCCAGCCCTGGCTGAAAGCAATAGGAATTCTCACAACAATTTCCAACCAATTTTTTTTTACCTTCAGTTTTGCTCAGTTGTATAGGCACCACTCCTGTACTGAAGTTACTGTCTTTGACTTCAGTGCAAACTGTGAGCCTTGTACAGTGTGCATTAGAAACTGCAGCACATCAGACAGAGCCTGCTCATTTGCCCCAGCACCATAAAGCTCTTTCCTTCATAGCCTAGCTGTCCCTGTCCCTTCCTATCTCTTTGGAAATAATTCCTGTTGTACCTCTAGGATGGCAAATGAAGGAGGCATGAAAAACTTAACAAGTTCTCTATCCAAAAATAATTCAAAAATGACTCTAGATACGTTCTATGAAACAATAAATTAACTGGTAAATAACCAGTTATCAGTTATTGCACAGGAGGTAGTTCAGCTGTTAACAAATTATAGCAATGGCTAAAGAAATACATAAATGCAGGAATTACTGCACCACTTATAATATGTATAATCAGCATTTGAAAAACCTTTGTTTACTACACATAATAATCTGGACATGGACATGATAAAGGTGTCACAGGATCTGACTCTAAGGGGTCTATTCACTAAGCTGCCGTAGGCAGCCGAGGGAAAGGCCGACCTGAAGTGAAGTGAGCCGAACGCTGTTCGGCTATTCACTTCAGGCTGGTACGGCTGATTTCAGCCGTATATCGGCTGAAATCAGCCATTCATTTGGTGTCTTCCCTCAGAGGGACCGAGCAGAACAAAAAATAGTTAAAAAAGTAAAAAAAAAAAAAAATAGAAAATGATCGTGCGGAGCTAGCAATGACAGCCAGCTCCGCCCAATAGTTTTCTATTGGCCGGCGGTTCTGCTGCCGTAAAAAAAAAAGAAAAAAAATAACTCTCTAGGGCAGTCTCTAGTCTCCCGCTCTCTAGTCTCCCGCTCCAGCCGCCCAGGAGAGAAACACTGCTTTTTCTTTTTTTTTCTTTATTCTGGCACGGAGCCGTGTCAGAATAGAAAAAAATATATTTTTTGCCCATAGGATTGCATTGCTAGATTCATATTGGCTATTTCAATTTGCAATAGCCAATAGTAAACTAGCATTGTACCCGCTCTCTGCTGATGGACCTGATGGAGAACTGCAGCAGAGGGCGGGTACAATGCTAGTTTACTATTGGCTATTGCAAATTGAAATAGACAATAGGAATCTAGCAATGTATTCCTATGGGCAAACATTTATTTTTTATTTTTTCTATTCTGACACGGCTCCAAGCAGTGTTTCTCTCCTGGGCGGCCGGGAGCGGTAGACTCCCGGAGCGCCCGGGAGAGTTTGCTGTCTGGGGATCAGTGTCCCTGGTTAGCTGGTAACCAGGAACGCTGATCTCTCTGCAAGTGGCCGGAGCTGGCTGGCTCCGCCCAGCTGTCGGAAGCAGGCTGTCGGACGCTCAATGGCCGGCCGCTCGGCCAGCTTCGGCTTTCAGCGCGGCTCAGCCGAGGCATATGCCTTCGGCTCAACTGAGCCGCTCAGCTAAGTTCGGGAGCTGTACGGGCTATTGTGAATAGCCTGTACAGCAGCCCTTCGGTTCTACTAACCTTTGGCTGCTTCGTGAATAGACCCCTAAGGGTACTAAACAGCCGCACAATGCTTGTTATGGTTTTTTACTTCCCCCATGGCCAATGTTACTTGGCTGAGTTTTTTGTTTACTGCTTTTGTACCTGCTTAATTTATCATCTTACTTTGTTACCATCTTATCCTTCATCTAATAATTTCTTTCAAAAATGTTCTTTTTTTACATATTGTTTTATGTATCTCCTATAATTAGTTTTTCCTGTTCATTTTCTCATTCTTTTATCTTATCATTTATTACACATAAATATACATAGATTCACTGTACATTAGGGGTTCTCTTTATCCTACATTATATACTGTTTCTTGATAAGTCACTGTGGTTATATCTATTAATGCTTTGAACAACACTTAATATACAGTAATGATCATTGTTAGGTGTTGCCTTTTTAGTTTCTTTATATATTAATTTCTCATCTATGTGTATATTCTGGTCTATATTATATTTTATATACTGATAGATTATTAATGCACTATTTAGACCTGGGCCTATATCCAGCAAGGGCATTAATTTAATATATCTGGGTGGCCATCTGGGTGGCCATTTATATGGGGGTGTGTGTTTTTAAACAGTTTTAAAATTTAGTTTGGGGATTTGTTTTGTTTTGTTTTCATTTGTGAAATTGTGTTACTTATGGATACATTTTAGTGGCAATTTATTGCCTTTTTGTAAGTGCTTTACATTTTGGGAGATTGTTTTTTGGCTAATAGTACTTAAAGATATAGTCCACCCCACCTTTACACAATTTCTCGAAAAAGGTATATAAAAAATGGTAAAATACAAATAATTACAAATATAGCTGCTTGTTATTCTTGAGGGAATCCCCTAGCACAAAGAACGTGACAGAATTAAGAATGATCCCTTGTACTGTTCACAACAGGAGAAGTGAAACTGTCTAAAGTACATTCACATTTCATTTCTGTCATTCTAAAATGATGTAAAACCATAAAGATTGTGCATAAATACTTTGTCAAAATGTATCATATGATAAAGTAAGTGAATTTTCCATGGTGATGTAAATCCTGTGAACGCGTGGGTAGATATGTCACAGGGTACATGAGTTATACCAGCTCAGAAAATCTATGTTTGCTTCCCACGCACTCAGGGTATGGGGAAAATAAATAAAAAACTTTTCCCAAACCAGTGGGTTTTTAGAAAAGAACCAATGTAAACATACTGTAGATTACAGTAAATGCTTTTTTTTTTAGTTTGCGGCTCAGTTGCATTGAATTATTATTTTTTTTAACCAAATATGGTAGGGCTTCTCAGATTTTTTGTTTTAGGTTGTATAGCTATACACATTCTATCTTGGAAGTGGCATTGCTTTGATGTCTGTATGTAGGTGCCAGTGTATACACATATAGAACAGAAGTTCTAATGGTAAAAATGTCATAATGTATGAGCGCCCTTGTTAATGAAAAAGGAATAAAAAACAAACAAACAATGCAAGTGCGAATTGTTGTCAATAACAAAAAAACAGTTGACTGGTTACATATTCTAGCCTGATCTAGAAAAATAATAATTGGAACATCACCATGATCATGGAATCTACTTACCAAATGTTTGCTTTTGGAACTTTTCTTAAAAGGAATTGGTCCTGAAGACGTAAAGGCTTGGACATGCCGCAGTTTACTAAATAAATAAAGTAACATGTTTCCAATGAGTTTTGTCAATGTTCAGTTTAATGCCACAATGTATTACTAAATTTATTGTCGGGACAGACATTTGGAACAATTATGTGTAGCTCCTCTTGACACTCCTACCACGTTTTTGGTAGCTCTTGGTTAAGGTGAGTGATTAAATAGTAAGTGCCAAAATTATGAATTATCCACTTCTAATAATGTGGTACTGGAAGTATGGCTTTAACAAAGTAAAAGAGAGTCCTAGATTGCTTTAATCTGCTATACAAAACTGTAATATTTGTTCACATGTGACAGTTTTGCTGAAGGTTTTAGTCCACCAAAATATCATGCCAGTCATGGGTTGCATGGACTGAGTTATCCTTTGGGTTTTTAAATCTCTCAAGGACTCTAGGAAATCTTACAGTCATCCTGTTGCATTTTGCACAAATAACTTGAATCTAGTTATTTGTTACAATCTTGAAAATAGTTTGAATCTTATGTAATCGTAGTTGCTGATGTATAGGCTTCAGAACATATTCCCCAATATCTCACAAATTAAAACCCCAAATGAGAGGTGGTCTAACTTTGCAGCATGCAGCAAAACTTTAAAGACATAACTTACAGAGATAGAGATGCATTTGTACTATTGACTAAGAACACAATAGGTAATGTGTGTGTGAATAGTAAAAGAAGACTTTCATCCAGTGATGTTTCTAGTTCATGTACTATTGTTGTTTACAAAATAGTTGTTTGCCATATCTCCTAGTGTTGTCATTTCAAATAAGCATTCTTTGTTTGCAGGTGTTCCAGACTCACCTATACCAAATGGCCATTCGCTTCCGGGAAGGGATTTCCTTCGGAAGCAGATGAGAGGGGATCTCTTCACTCAGCAGCAACTAGATGTGTTGGATCGGGTGTTTGAGAGGCAACATTACACCGACATCTTCACAACTACAGAACCCATCAAACCAGAACAGGTATTACAACTATGCTGAACATTTTAGACTCAATTTTTACATATAATATCTAGTTTACCTGTAAGAAAGGAAATAACTTTCTTAGAACTGTTTCCCTCTAACCCTAAAGCTAACTTTCCCTGTAACCATAACCCAAACTTTATTCTTCCCTGATACCCTAACCTTCACATTAGTCCTCCCTGTTACCCTTTGAGAAAAAAATCTACATATTAGTTCACAACAGCACAACAATCATGACCTTTGAATAGTATATACGTTAGCAGTCTCTCCCACTCCCATTGATTACTGTTTTTGTATGTTTAAGAATTAGGTTCTATTAAAATCACTACTTGCTGAGTTTTCATTTATTCACTTTTATGTGTAACTTTGTGATTGGATATTTGTGTTGACACCCACACCCACCCCATAGCTGAATGTACAGTATACAAGTCTAACTTGCCATAATATACCTTGAAACAGATAAAGAGACTGACTGCATATTGTCCATCTGTTCCCTGCATTTGCATATCTAATGAGGCCCAGTCTTTATTGATATCCAAGACACCTTACACCAGGGGTGCCCATTGGGTAGATCATGATCTACCAGTAGCTCTCAACGCTGATGCTGGTAGATTACGAAGGGTGTGAATGGTGGCCTCTTTATTCCATTTTGGTATATTTATTTAGCTGTGCACACATGGTTACCTATTAGCCTGAGTCTGCTGAGCCAAGCTCCCTGACACCTTTCTGGTGGATACTGGTGGTTGAAGTGCTATGTATTACATCAAAGAATATTAGTTTACACAGCCTGTTGCACTACACTGTTTGCAAAATACAGCATGGTGAACCAGGAGAGAGAGAGCGGGGAGAGACAGACAGGAAAGAGAGAGAGGAGAGACAGACAGGGAGAGAGCAAGGAGAGACAGCCAAGAGAGCGAAGAGAGACAGCCAGGAGAGAAAATGAGGAATGACAGCCAGGAGAGAGAGGAGAGACAGCCAGGAGGATCAGCAAGGAGAGACAGCCAGGAGAAAGAGCAAAGAGAGACAGCCAGGAGATCGAGGAGAGACAGCCAGGAGAGAGAGAGAGAGAGAGATAGAGCGAGGAAGGTTTTTTTCGTTGGTAGATCTCATGTAGCTCGTCATTTGAAAAGTAGATCTCAACACTAACCCTCCCTGTAACCCTAACCCAAGCTCTAACTCCTTGTAAGCCTAAGCCTCCCCTGTCTCTCCCTATTGACCTAATCCTCACACTAACCCTCCCTGCAACTTAAGCCCTTAAAAAATTATTCTTGCAACTTTATCCCTCATACTAACCCTTTCTCATATTTACCTTACCTGTAATGCTAATCGATACTCTGTATAACCCTAACGCTCCTACTAATAGTCCATGTAACATTAATCTTAACACTATCCTTGCCTGAATAGCTAACATAACGCCTCCTTATATAACCTTTTGTTTGTATATGTACCTCTTCTTTACTGAATATTCACATTACTGCATTGAAAGACATCAGTGCCAAAATACTGGTGCTGGAATTTACCCATTTGTTCACAACCAGCCATCAGTATCATAACTCTAACCAGCTAACTGATAACAGGTCAAATATTGCTCCTCTGGTTTACAGCACTTCATGCTAAATACTTTTTGCATTGCTTTACTAATGGGAATGAATAACAGTTTTGTACATCATTTCTTTCTATGGGCGATAAGGGTACCAGCAGCTTTGTCTGCTTCAGCTGCCTTAAATGTAAATTTTTGGAGATACTTTTAAAAGGGAAAGAAATTGATATTTAGTTACTGATGTTAGGCACTTTGCCAAAATCTCAGGAAAAGTGTGCAGACATTTTAGATTGTTTCCTGACAGTCAGGGTCAATTTATTGTCTTGATACTATATTCTGAAGCGAGAACTTGAACAGAATGCACAACTAATCCCTAAACACTTTGAATTATGAGATCTCTGGGGTGTGCAGATTTCAGGTAAACATCTAACCCTGGCACAGCACTTTTTCATATCTGTGTAAAAATAAATAAATAAATATATATACATATATACACACACACACACACACACACACACACACACACACACACACACACACAAACAAACACATGTATGTATGAATGGATGAGATGTTTTAACCACCAGTTCTATGCATTTATTACATTTTAAAGTATGGGGCTTGAAATATTGGCAACTAATTGTAATTTAATTGAAATATTTTGTGCTTGCCATTCCGTTAAATATATTTTTTCTTTTTACATTCTATACAAATCAATACCATATATACAATGCAAAATATAATATAACTAAAGCAGTGGATAGTTAAAACCTACAAACTACATTTATCGTTTCACTATACTGATCTTTTACTGCCAAATGGGGTTAACGCAGTTTTCGCTAGCCCAGTGTGTTCAAGGTAACTTAAAAACAGACTACAGGTAAGAGAGGGGTGGGATTTTGAACTTCTTACATAGGAGATATTTGCAGCTATAAAAGTAAATTAGGACAGTTAGGGTATATCTGGGACAAATAAGATGCTACATTTGTGTCTTAAGTTCTGCTTTAAATATCCTTGAAAGCTATCTTGTTGATCCTTAGTATCACTATAGTATATTCTATTAATCCTGTATTTAGCACAATCATATTCTGTAGTTGCTTGCAGAAGGTTGATCTAGATCCTGTAAAAGAAGAGATGTCATTACTAGTATACTTTTTTGTTTTTCCTTTTATATTTTCACTTTTAATGATAAGCCTGCCTATATGAGCCCTCCCTCAGCTACTATGCTTGTGGTCTCTAGGGATGAGCTTCAGGTTTGGGTTGAACATGAATTCAACCTGAACCCAGCCTGTTTGCAGCAAACTGCAAATAAAATGACCTGCCCAAATGACCTGGCCAGCCAAAAGTCATTAATTTAGCAGCAGGATCATTAATGCCACTAAATGTCAGCTTGTTTTAAATTGTAAATAAGCCAGCAGGTATCCTGGGGGATGTGATTGACCAAATATGTTCATGACCATACTCAGTGAATGGCATCACTCAGCATCCCCAGTTGGTTTGTTTACACTCAATAGCAAACCTACATTTGCAATAAAGGACAGGATTTCCATGTTGTCAGACTGTCGCTCATAGTGATTAATGCTGGATCAACATTACTAGATGATGTGATTGATGTTGGATTTACATAGGGGAACATTGTTTTTAATTTTTGTTTAATAAATAACTTTTTCTACGGTGTCTGTATTTTCATTTAAGATTTTTTTTTTTGTAAATGAGCAACAAGGGGTACTATGTACCTCATACTTATTCTTATACTGCAGAGGATACTGGGTTCCTGGCCAGCGGCTAAATGTGAACAATGTAATGTAAAGGCCAGTGATCCTATATGGTCAATGACATCCCCCAGCATCTCTTGACCTGTATGTTTACATTCAGCAGCCAGCCGGGGACTGTCATTTACAACAATCTTAGCAATGGGGTAGCATTATCGTTGAGGTGGTCTACCTGTTGGTGGGTCATCAGGGGGTTGCTTATTGTGTGGGCGCTCTGCTTATTTATTAACTCAATACAGTTTTATCTTTTAGATTTAGTCAGAAAATTATTTTTTTTGTGCACGGATACTGATTTTGGTGTGTTTTAACAATTGAATTGTGTATTTTTATCGGTTTAATATTAATTTGAGAAACATTTGCGCAATTATCGCAGGGCCTACAAATTTAGCATCACCATCTTTTTATTCTACCGGGCCTGCGCTTTCAGAAAATATATGGTTTGGGGGGGTCTTTTACAAACGCTAGCAACGCAGCAGTTGAAAATCAAACCAATAGGAAAAAATTGCAGAAAATTCAAAAATGGCTTGGCCAGCTGATTTGAAAAATGTTCCGGAGGGCTTGGCAGCGAAAGGGTTAAACCCCATCCACTTGACCCCACATGACAGTGCTCAGGCTGTGTGTAAATGGGTAAAGAATTAAGGATAACTGCAGTATGTTGAAGGGCACATTTTACCTCTTCCTTTTTATTTCTGTGCTCTGAGACCTGTTGTCACAGTCACAGGCATTTGTACATTATACTTTCCACAATTAGCTGTCCAGAGTCATATATAATGGAGAGGATTGGTAGGGCTTTGCTAATTGTATGCTAGGGCTGTCTATTTGTAGCAGTTTGTGATCTGTTTATCCAGTAATTACTTGTGTACAATACAGAATAGAAATAACTTATAGCTTCTAGCAATAAAAAATATTGTCATTGATTTACTAAAGTAGCAGTTAATGTTACGAAAGTGAATGTTCATTTGGCTTAGTGAATTAAGTAAAGTTGTTTTCACTGTGAATACCCAATCATGTGTGGGGCAATTAAAAGAACAAAATGTATCCATGCATGTGATTTTTTAAGTTAACACAACTCCACATTATTCAACAAGTAAAAAGAACAAGCTCTGATAATGCAAGGAAAGGAAAGAAAGGGGGCTGAGGTTATATTTACGAGGTTGCTTGGTATCTCTAGATATATAAAAAGAGAAGTGTGTTTTAAGTGCAATAATCAAATTAATCAAAGGAAATCTCACCGCTCCAATTCCTTAGCCACCATCAGGACTCCCCAGGTGCTGGTCTAATAGGTGCGTCTCCACCTTAGAATGCAGCAGTATACGAACAGACCGCACTATCCAGAGAATTCCAATACTGCAGACTTTATTAAAATTCACAGCAAATCCAGTATATCAGTGAATAAAACCTCTCACATGTTTCACCCGAAGGCTTATTCATAGAGGTCATGAAGGCTATGAATAAGCCTTCTGGTGAAACATGTGAGAGGTTGTAGTTGGTTGGGGATGTGCAGAGCTGGCATTTGTTGCTTTATACACATTTATTCACTGATATACTGGATTTGCTGTGAATTTCAATAAAGTCTGCAGTATTGAAATTCTCTGGATAGTGCAGTCTGTTCGTATACTGCTGCAATCAAATTAATCACATCAAAATCAAAATAGTTAATATTGGGACCTAAAGGTCAATTAAATATA